ATATCATTTTTTAGAGTTCCTCTGGCCATGCCGCTTGTCTGCAGCAAAAATTTCTTGTATATCTATGATCAGGTGTATGGGGTGAGTTTGTGATCTTTTTTTGCATGTTTTCATCATAACTAAACTTTGCAATCACAAATTGCAAAAGAAAATTCAGAAATCGCTGGCATTCAAAGCTTCCCTTTGCAAATGGGAGTCGAACCCGTCAATAACCAATTACCGATTAGGACTCTATCTCTGAGCTATCGCTAAGAGAACGCCACAATGAGAGCGAATTGACCTATACGCGATAACATTAGCGATTAGCAATATTATTGCTACAGTCATAATGCTGCACCAATGGTAATAATTAATAATCGTAGCAACGGAAATAACGCAAAAATCACTTCATAAATGGCTATAGCAGTAGCGCCGAACAGACCCATCATAAGCCAATGCCTCAATTTCACTGTATGCCCCCGAATTTCAATTGTACACGACCATCGGCTATTAAAAGCACCTCCATGACCATAATTCACTCTCTTTTTCAGATTCAGGAGTAATCTGAAAGTCGTCATGAAACATTTCAAATCATTCTTTAAAAATTCTGAAATGTGCACGAAAACTTGGTGCACTCGATGCTCGGTCGGAGAAGTGTTGGATTTTTCTGACCGAGCGTTAGTCAGATACCATCAGTACTAGAATGGGAATGCGACATGAGAGTTAACCTCGAAATTTTCTGATTCAGATGCGAAGTCGCTGAAAACTGACTGCATGCTGGAGGCAAAAGAGCTTTAGGAAATTGTCTCCATATGTTTCGATTATGTTCGGCCCTGAATTGATGCATTACGATCGCAGCAGTTATGCGATTGCATTGTTGAAGGGGTATGCGATTGAATGATGCAATCAGGTTCATCGTAATGTTTTTGTACGGCTTCTTTTGCAATTGTATCACGTTTATGCGAGTAGCTACAGTGGACGAATAAAATTGCAGGAGCAAATTCGATTCAGATTGATTTTTTTTCGCAACAGGTGTTGCGAAAATCAGTCACCTGAAGTGGTTCTGAAGTGAAAGTTGGCAAAATCGAGCACTGTTATGCGGAACAAAGAGAGGAAGGCATCGTTGGACCGGTTTCGATAGCATTTCTCCAAAAATGGAATGATTTGAGACGACGTGTAGAGACTCCGCACAACCAGATGTAATTGAGTCAGTGTCACCCGCTGCCTGGGTCAGGTTCCAAACTCTCATGAGAAATAAGTTCGAGATTGGACATGAAATCACATTCTGAACGTTGATAATGGGTTGAGCTGATCTGGCTGATTTTAAGGCAAATTTGCGGTAGACATGTCTATGAAACGGATCGTTGCTGCAAACAGTTGCCTCATCTTTGATTTAGGCTCACCTTTGCGACTCACGCTATATTGTAATCTTTGCCTAGAAGTGGGTCTCGGGATGAGCCCTAGGCTAAGCTCCGTGGTATACCTCAGCAGAATGCAGGAGTAAGACTCTGCTTGAAGTTGCTGAATACGCCCATCTCTCTTACTGAACACGATAACCATAGCATTGCCATCTCGTGATAGAAAAGGATTGCCGAATGTCGGAATGAATTATTTGGAAGGATATCACTTCAAGGATCCATTTGAAGTGTCTCAATTGAATAATTTGAAAAAATTTAGTAAAGTGAAATGACATCAAATGATACAATCAACGTAAAATAATACAGAGGGAAGATGTGAAGCAATCAGTCCTTCTCCTTGACTGTCTCACGCTAGGAAACTTTATATAACGCGGTAATTTTATCAAAGCATTATCAATAATCGAACCAGCGGTGTGTTTTATCAGTTGAAATTGACTCTTTTATCAGTTGAATGCAAGTGATTAGCGATGTCTCATCAGTTCCACCAGCATTTTATATATGCCTGACGATACAATCTTTCAGCACTGTTTTTGATCTCTCCGCCACCTGATCCTTAGTTCTTCGACATCTCTTTCGCATCCACTTGTCTTCTTTTGCCATAATTATGATATGGATAATTAAGAGTGTTTGCGGTGTCATGTTGGCAACTGTTGTAATTTTGTGCTGATATATCTGAGTGAATTCATGTGCAGTATAGGTTCGTAAGACGACTGTTTACATCGCAGTGGGGGACTATGAACATGGGTAAGTAAACCATACTAAACACGTCAAATATTCGAAAATATCAATCGATCAAGTTATTCGTAGCTTGTATTATCTTTACATCAATGTAAATAATGATAATAAAAATAAAAATAATAATAATATTAATAATAATAATAATCACAATAATAACAATTACGTACTCATTTATGGAGGGATAAGGCCGCAAATAATCATTTACGAACGGATAAGGCCGCGAATAA